CCCTCTGCCTTGGGAAGAGAAAGCGGAGAATTACTAGCCTTAGAGACTTCAAGGAGTTTCAGTTCTCATCCAAAGCAAGGTGCACAGCTTTTGCTTTAGTGGATAAAAATATACAGGTTGAGTCTCCTTTACCTGAAATGCTCAGGACCAGAAGTGTTTAGGATTTTAGTTTGGGTTTTTCGCTTTGATTTGTTTTGTTTGGATTTTGGAATATTTGCATAATGAGATCTTGGAGGTGAGATCAAAGTCTAAGCATGAAATTTATTCATGTTTTGTATAGACATAGCATGAAGGTAATTATATACACAATATTTAAAAAAAATTGTGCATGAAGCAAAGTTTGTGTATATTGAACCATCAGAAAGCAAAGGTGGCACTATCTCAGCTGCCTTTTACATGAAACAAAGTTTGTGTACATCAAACCCTCAGAAAATAAAAGTTTCACTATCTTAGCCACCCATGTGGACAATTTTGGATTTTGGAGTATTTCGGATTTTGGAATTCTGGATAAGGGCAATTCAATATGTATTTTGAATAATTAAAAAAAATAAGCTTCCATCATTCCCAAGTTTATTTTAAAAGTGTATAACTTATAAATGTCCTTCTAGGGGACAAAAACAATTATTTGCATGAAATATTTTGTGGAAAAAACAGTATATTTTGCACAAATTGTAATTTTCTGGAATTTTTTGTGACACAAAAATCAAGGATTTTGCACAAACAACTTCCATCACACAACAAACCAATTTTACAGGGCAGGGGGAAACCTCACAGTAGTTGACTTATTTTCTTGGGAGAATCTCTCAAAGTGTTCATATTCCCTTCCATGTTTTGGACATGGAAATTTTGCAAATATTCTTTCCATCTTTATTTTCCCAACAAATCTATTTACCTTTTGCCAGAAGGGTACTTCTTTTTCACCAAATCAGTGTGACGTTTTACCTGCTCTAACTCCTTAACTATCACTGTCTCTAATTCTAATTCTAACTAACTCTATCATTTAACTGCTAACCCTTAAATAGGTTGGAATTCCTGTGGGGTCAGAAAAAACCTAAGCTGAAGGTGGTGGAAAATCTCAGTGCATGAGGGTTAAGAAAGGGAATGTGTGCTAGTGGTCAGAGCTGTGGATTGGGAAGGGTGTCACCTTTTTGCCCTCTCTTTCTCTCCCCCATCCCAGGGCGCTCTTTGACTATGACAAGACGAAGGATTGTGGCTTCCTAAGTCAAGCTCTGAGCTTCCATTTTGGTGATGTCCTCCATGTGATCGACGCTTCCGACGAGGAATGGTGGCAGGCGCGGCGCGTCCATCCAGATGGCGACAGTGACGAAATTGGCTTCATCCCCAGCAAGAGACGGTAGGGAAGAAAAAAAGGGTAGAGGATGGCTTCGCAATTGGTTTTGGGTGGGAACAGTACGCCATGTGGGGCCCCCAGGACCATTTTTGTATTCCCCAGGAAGAGTTTTTGCTTCCACCATTTTTAGCACTCTCTAGACAACATTTTGCTAAAAAAAATTTAAAAATTGTTTTGCCCCCAAATGCCATGGAGGGGGGCCTTGCCACCATGTTTTGTGTCCCCTGGACCAATTTAGACCTTGGAGAAGCTTTTTTTTGAACATATAAAATTGCAAGATCGTGGTTGGCTTTTTGGAATTTTTGGGTGTGACTATTTTCAGGCCATGGATTGTTGAGTCTGTAGATACTGAATCTGTGGATACGGGAGGCCTGCTGTACAAAACAAAAGCGCCCCTATATTTCAAATTGTATATAACAAACTGGGTGGATTTCAGAGGCAAGTAACTAAGGTCCTAGGTCTGAGCGTCTCCCTCTTTGTCCATTCCTCTCTGTCTCCTGCAGGGTTGAGCGACGGGAATGGACGCGGCTAAAAGCAAAAGTAAGTTTTGAAATGGTCCAATACCCGTGGTGCACATGGGGTTCATGCTCCCATGCATGGCTAGGGCTCCATGCATTTTACATTTCAGAGGACAGTGTGTATGGATTGGCTTGGAGAGGAGCAGGAATGCTCAGGCAAAGTGTGGGAGAAGGAACACAAGTCCAGGTGGGAATCCAAAGGAAAGCCCTGAAACCAAGGCCCTCTTTAGTCCAGCGCTCTGTTAGCTATAGCAATAGTATTCATATTTCTTAATAGTGAACTCAGAACACTCTCAAATGGTTTACAATCTGTAAGCCAATTGCCCCCAACAGGCTGGGTACAACCTATGAAAGGATGTAAGGCTGAGTCCACCTTGGAGCCCTGGGATCGAACTCATAACCTTGCGGCTGCAGAACCGGCATTTAACCATTGCGCCACAGGGCTCCTGTTCCACAGTGGTCCAACCAGTTGTCTCTTCTAGGAAGTCCAGAGACAGGTGACAAACCCCCCCCCACACACACACACACAGGTGAGGCTACAGGTGGGCACAAAAGGAAGGCATTGTATCTCCAAACATACCCTCCAACGTTTTGTAGATTAAAACTGGGATGTGTGGACAAGCAACATCAGAGCGAAGAGACAGCAGGCAAACTGCAAAGAAATCTTCCTTAACTTGACAAAGTTCTCCCATTGTGTTGAACTACAGCCATAGAACTACTGCCATAGTGCTTGCTCCTCCTTTCAAATGTCTGCACCTGCTGGACTCCTTCTGGCTGGTACTTCTGTTTTAATTTTGGTCTTGGGAGGTCTCGGGAAAATGTAATGCTCATGGCCCTTACCGTCAGGCAGATGGGCTTTAGAGTCCTTCTTAGCATCATAACCAAATGTTTACAGCCACCTGCTGACAAATGAAGGGTTAATTTGTATTTAATAGGCTCTGCTGGATAGTCTCACTTTAGCAATGCAGTCTGAGGCTGGAAAAAAGATGTAAAGTCTGGGAATGAACTGAGGATGTCCACAAATCCCTGACTACAACCATCTTGTATTCTTCTCATAGCTAAGGATGGGAGAGCAGCAGGCAGGCTGCAAAGGAACTTTCCTTAACCTGATAGAGTTCTCCCATTGTGTTGAACTGCAACTCCCACCCTTCCCAGACAGGATGATGGGCACTGAAGTCTGGCTTATCTAGAAGGGGTGTGTAATTGTTTGCTTTTGCAATATAAAAAAACCCCTCAGGAAATAATCTCAAACAGGCATTGACCAGGGATAGGATTGTACTCTTAATTCAGGGGACTCTTTGTCTAGCCATTGGGACGTGTGCATTAGTCCTGGGATGGTCAGGATAGAATTTGTTGTTTAAAGAATCATCCACTTGCTAGAAGGGGATGCTGGACCTGTCAGCAGCTGTAAAACTAACAGTTTTACATTATAATCATGTAAAACTGAACACTAAAGTTAGGATCATCCAATCCATTATATTCTCCAGCACCATGTATGAATGTGAGAGTTGGACAGCGAAGAA